CCCCAAAACCCCAAAACCCCTAATTTAAATCTCTGAAATTAACGTTAAATTAAAAAAGCATAAATTTAATAATTCAAAATGAATAAGCAATTACGATCATCATATACCAATTCAAACAATACTTCAATTACTAATCATAATAGAAGCTTAAATAGTTAGCAAAGTCAAGGATAAAATTTAACTAGCGGGGAGAAGCTATTATTTAGTCTTGGCAAAGCTATAAATATCTAGTAGTCAAATAAGTTAGATCCTTAAATCCAAGATGTGCTTGCAATGTATGCAGAGAAAATATTGGACAAGAGGAAGTAAGAAAGGGAAAAGAAGCAATAAGAAATCACTCAAAAGCAGTATGCTTATAAGGGGGGTTCAAAACCTAGTGATCTTTATAAAAGTCAAATAGATAAGACTTAAGATGAGAACTTAAGAAGCATTAACAATTAAATTATTGAAGAAGTTAGCGAGGATGGTGCGACCAGTAATAGTGGTAACTATTCATATTTATACGATAGCGTTGTTTCCAGAGGCAAATATAAAAGTCAATCTGCAAGTAACAAAAGGAATAAAGGATAAAAAGTAAATGAGTATTAGATGCTCTAGCATAAGAAAAATGTCCGCTCTGCTGTAAATGAATAATTCATATTCACTCTGTACGAATTCTTTTCAACTAAACAACTAGTTACAAAGCTAAGGCCTTTAAATTCATTCTTTAATTAAACAGCTAAGAGTTATCTTCCGACAAGACTATAATAAGAGGCTGAATTTATAAATGCATTTCTAGAGGAAAATGATGAGATTAATCAAAAATTTCTAAGAATTGTTGATACTTAGATCCCAATTGCTAAGAAGAATTGGTTATTCTTTGACTTTCAAGATGTTTTAAACAATTTGAGCTTGATTAGTAAAGAGGATGTAACTAACCTCAAATTTTTTTTGAAGGGATCTTCCTTTTCAACTTCTGTTGATGTATGCTTAGCTCCAATATGCTTACTCTTTGGTATAAGAGATGACAGAGTAAAATAAGCAAATGGGGAAGTGAAGAGTATGTGGCATAAGCAAGCTTTCAAACTTGTTTCTCAAAACCATTTCTATAAGAATATTTGCAATTATGAGAAAGATAGTATCAGAGAAGAAGCTTTTTTGGAAGTGTTTGAATACCTAAACAGAGATGAATTAGAAATCGATAGAGTTAGAATAGTAAATTAAGCTTTATGTAAATTCATTGAATGGGCTAGATATTTAGTCTCATATCACGTACTGGTTCATCCATATAAACTCAGAAATCCATAAACTGTCTTGCCTGGCACTGATGTATACTTTTTCTTATAAACTATTGATTCATTTATGGATTAGTTTTATCAACTTAAATCATACCTAATTAGACTATAAGTATTGCCAAAAGATACAAATTTTGCATTCAACTTATCTCATGTAAAATTCATTAAGAGGGAAAAAGTATGCTCCATGATAAAGTTAGATTCAAATATTATTGACGTTGTTTTATGCAATTTAGGAACTACAGAGGCAGCTAAAATGTCTTAGATCAATAGAAAATTCAGATTTTATGTTGCTAATCACTGGGATATGAGACTCACATATTAAGTTTTAGAAGTAGAATGTCTTAAAACTAATAATTTCGAGCTATTAAATAAAAAAGTTCCACTACTATATGAAGGAGGGTTTTTCTCGCCCTATATTAAAATGTTAGACAGAATTTTAATTTAGGAAAAATGCTTTTTGTCTAAGTACCATCTTGATGAGATTAAATCAATCATAAAACCAAATAAAAATCTATCTTAATATGTATAAGCATTCTGTAAGTTAGTTGGTATCAAACCAATTAGGAAAGGCCTACCCAATGGATCCTTAGAGATAGATTATTTTACGCCATTTTAATAAGTTGTAAAAGGGAATAAACTTTAGACATTTTTGAATAACTTCAACAAATTAACTATTAGAGGTGAGCTATTGTAGCAAGCTAATTCATTTATAACTGTAATGCTAAGATAAACATCATTAGCCCAAGCAAAATAGCATTCCTTAGGACTATTTTAGCTTCTTTTATGGACAATATCAGTCGTTACTATGAATAAGCTAATCAATCCTCTTAATTTTACAACTTCTGAATATGTTAAAAGAAGATTTTCGAATTAATTTGAAGAAATTTAAGTTATTGAGCATATTTATTAAGCTTTAGAAAGCTGGAGATTCACTTATAATGTGAAACTGGTAAATATTGCAAGCTATGTATAGTCTCAAAAATAAAATCCTCAGATTTTTATTGAAACTAAGTTCCTAAATTAAAATCAAAACTAATCTATTGAGAATATCGCTTTAACTGCAAAGAACATGATTAAGGAAATTGAAGAAATCTAGGGATTTAGTATTCTCAATAGAACTGCAATGAATGACTAAGAAGAATTAAATGAATCTATATACCATTAAGTAACATAGGAAATCCCTTAGTAAGCTAGGCCAGCATTTTTTGAGAAGGTTCTTCTGGATTTTTATCAAACATATTTTACATTGGAGCTTGAATACTCAATAGTTGGTGATCCATTTGGCACAAATGATATAAGTGGATTAGATTTCTTCAACAAATAGATTCAGCCTCAAATCTAAACTTTTAAATCAATCACTTTTAAGAATAAGACTAACATACTTTCTACACTAGATTGCCATATCAAATCAACCTTCATAAGTAATTAGCTAAATACTCTTTCATTTGGTAGTTTCGTATAAAGTTAAAAAGCAAGAACAGTCTTAATAGATTAAAATATTCTTGAGAGTACATTATTTGATTACAATTCAGTTGAATAGGTTATCTTAATCTATGCTAAACTGAATAGCTAATTCAGATAAGCAGCTTTAAATCATTTATCCATCAGGATTCTATACATGCAAGAAGAAACTAGAAGATTTGAAGAGGCTTTTGAGGAGGTTATTATTTCAATTAGACAAAAAAGGGATAACTTCCAAAAAGATTTTGAACAAGTTTCAGGATTATAGAATCCCTGTAAAGAAAGAGCATTGAAGCTTTTGCAAACTATCAATAATAAAGATATCAGTAATCTTAGAAAGGTTTCTAAACCTACACCATCTTATGATTTCTTTGTAGCTCCTCTTCTGGTTCTATTTGATAAATAGCCTAGGAGAATTTCAACAGCAGATGGAAAAACAACCATATCACATTGGCAAGTAGCATTTAAACTTTTATCAGATAACTTTTGTCAAAAGCTCAGAGACTTCTAATTAGAGGGAATGACATAGGATAAATTTAATAAGTTCTCAAGCTTGATACTCTCAATAAACAATAATAGTGGGCCTAGATATACTGTCAATGCTGCTAACAAAATAAATCCAGCTCTAGGAAATCTTGTTTCATGGATTCTTGGAGTTTACGAATTCCATAGATTCCTAAGGGTTTACTCTATATCTTCCCTTGATGAGAAAATAATCTTAAATAAAAATGAAGTGAAATTTGCCAAGAAAATGGATGAACTCATTCTAAGAAATCTAAGAGTGATGAGATTTATCTAAGAAAAAACTGGAATTAATCCATTGGTATAGAATCAAATTACTACTATGAATGAAAGAACAGATTCATCTTCTATTGAAAACTATAACCTCTATAGCTAATGTGATGTTGATAGCAGCGAGGGCAATCAGCAACTTTACACATTGTCTTCAAATTAGATTTAAAGCTTTGATAATTAAAGCCATGTATTAAGAGAAAGAAATTGAAATGACTTGATACGAAATAGTTATTCTAATGCATTAAATAAAAATTGATTAATTATGAATCACTAATCACACTGATCCTATTTAATACTATTTCTAATTATTTTAATTATGCGTAAAAATATCAATTTGATCAATGCGGGGTTTTGGGGTTTTGGGGTTTTGGGG